AATAATCCCTTCGTTGAATGAGCCAATTACTACATCCCTTATTTATAAGTGTCGAATTCCTAAACGAATTAGGACTGCAAAGTTCGATAACTAAAGCCCATTACTACATTTTTCCTTTCTAACAACGAATATATTTCTCTACACGTTTTCTTATTCAAAGAGGATAATTTCCTTTTCTCTAAGTCTTAATGCATTTATTAAGAGAATATATTTTATAAGTAAAACAATCTTATACATGTGTAAGAAAAACAAAATTTGTTTTTTTCTTTTTTGTATTTAAAAACTAAAGTAGTTAATATAATGTAGTCTGAAAAAAACTATTTTAGTTTCCACTGGCGTTAACTTCTATTACAAGTTAGGGCTTACGAACAGAGTTGGATGGGAAACATGGTTTGCGTGGATAACTGGATATACCCACTCCATACCAATGGTAATGTTACACAGACGAAAGTACGAAACCTTCCAAAACAAGACAGACCGTCTAAAAGAAAAGTTTCATAAACAAATAAGTAAATTCAATTCATAATCACACCATAAAATTGATCATCTATTGACTTCTCTTCCGGTTAAACTCATAACCATTAAATGTATGTGCGCAACAAACTCTAACACTTGCAAAAGCACAAAATTCGCAGAAGAAACGTTAGCAATAAACCACGAACCGGGATCCCAACTTACCCCAATCGAACCATTTCAGAGAATTTTTGTATTCGGTTTGGATATTTTACCAAGTATCGAATAAACCGATCAGGTTTGCAAAAGCAAAATTCACAGGTCTGATGGAAGCGAATATCACTTTTCTAATTTGCTTGCCATATAAGCTTCCTCAAACAAATTTTTTCATCTTTGTATCTTTTGTTTTGGATTTTAAAACCGGTCTAGTCAAACCAATTTATAAAGTAAACCGAATGGCTTTGTTTTCCAAAGCCCTAGATTTGCCTTGCTTTAGTTTTTCCCCCAAGTTACCCTAATTTTGGTTGTTTCCAGAGTTTTCTCCTTTTAGGTCCTGACCAATTAGTCTAAGTTGAAGTCACCTCTTCTGCTTCCTTTGTTTTACCTTTTGGTTTACAGTTGGAGAATCAATCTGATCTGCCTTCTTGAACTCAAAGTTTGGGACTTCCCGTCTGTAATTAGGTAGTTGTGAATTATCTTTATCTTCGATTTGATTTGAGTGGCTTCTTTAGTTTCACATGATCGGTTTTCCTTTTCTCCTTATATCTTTAGTATATATATATCCCCACTTTGGGAAACTCTTTTTGTTTCGAGAGAATCATAATTTGATCTTTCTCTGTTTGTAGATTTTGTAGTGAGCAAAGAGACGGATAGAATCAGCGGCCTACCAAATGAGATTATTAGCCACATTGTATATTTTCTCTCGGCAAAGGAGGCTGCTTTCGCAACGGTTCTCTCAAAGAGGTGGCAGAGTCTCTATACCATCATACCACATCTTGAGTTTGATGACAAATTTGAGTTTGAAGACGAAGATGAAAACCAAGAGAGTTTAACAGATTTCTTGGATGGAGTGCTAGCTCTGCCTCTCAGTTCCCGCGTTAGGACCTTGTCTCTAAAATGTTTTCGAAATAGTGTTAATCCAACTAATTATGCTCAGGTCAACCGTCGTCTATGTGATGTGCTGAAGCGTGGTGTCATGGAGCTTAAACTGGACCTATGGGTTAAAGATGAATATTCACTTCCTTTTGAGGTCTTCACTTGCAAGACTCTTGTTGAGCTTAAGCTAGGGACACTTCTGAGAATTGATAATCTCCCTGAGAATGCTCTTCTTCCGGCCCTTAAGACTCTCATCATCAAATCAGTTCGATTCTATGATCTTTATGGTTGTGCTTTCCAAAAGCTTATTTCTGCTTGCCCTGTGCTTGTGGAATGAGATTAGTACAAGGGAGAAACTGGAAGGAATAGTTCCAGACTCTGATATAGATGCATTCATGAAGGTAGAATACTGTGGATATTTTTTGTGGGTGCTTGTCGGAATATTCTTTCTTATTGCCGTTTCCTGTGAAGGTGCTTGTGAAACAGACGACGAGGAACAGTCTCAACTCAGAAACAAACTGCTAAATCTTCCTTTTTGGTTTGAGCATGAATTTGTTTTGATATTTGTTGACGTTTTACTCAAAGTGACAAAGGTTTTTTTCCTTTTATGGTTAACAGTTAACACGTTTCAATCAACAATAAAAGAAAACTTATTAGTGTAGTTTGCTAAAGAATATTTTTTTATAAATTGTTACTAAGCATTAAAAGTTTATAACTTTGAAGATCAAGCCCCAACGTCCACCATGTGACATGTTTTTTGAGCAATTCGCACCAGTAACTTAACCACCACACAAAACGCTCCGTTTTGCTTAAGAGTAAACCGAACATTATAAAACCGCCGCATCTTCGGTT